AAAGGAGAAGAAGGAGAAGGAAAAAAGAGAAGGAGGAGGGGAGAGAGAGAGAGAAAGAGAGAGAGGGAGGGAGCAATGATTAGAGATTAAAATAGCTCTCGCCCTGGCTGCAACTGAATATGAAGCTCCTGGAACGACATAGCAGATGTTTAAAACAGATTGAAATGTCACAGTAGGCATGGAGGGTGGAACAAAATGTTATCAGATCTTTCTCTCTCTTCTAATCAGCCTGTTCCTTTTGCCCAGCTCCCTGGGAGATAAGAGTGGCACTGAAGGAAGGCCTAAAGTTGAAAAGAAATTCCAGTGAGATGCCCCTAGAAAATATATAGGGATATACATACATACATACATACATACATACATACATACATACATACACATATCTCAACTTATTTTATTTCTCCATTGGTTTGTTTTGTGCCCTGCCTATTCTCCAGGAGATCCAGATGGCATACCTCCATTCCTCTCTCCAATTTCCCCCCAATAACAGCCCTGTGAGGTAGGCTAGGCAGAAAGAGAGCCCATGTTGCCTAAAGGTTCAAACGATGGAAAGTGGACTTGAACCTGGGTTCTCAACGCAATGGGCACCGTGAAGGCCACTGGTGTAACAAGTAGGCAAACATCTGGCCTGCCTGGAGCCTGGTGCTGCAGAGCAAGTTCCCTGCTATCATTTGAGGAAAATAAGACACAAGGGCAGGTGCAGAAAAGTGGACTCACACCCAACCACCAGATTCACCTTTGTCTTTTGTTCCACAACTTTACGAAAGGCGTGGGTTGTTTTTTTTTTGTCTTTACTTTTTGGCGACATGGAGAAAGGAAAAAAAAAAGGGGGCCAGGCAACCTCAGCCTGAAATGCCCTTGGCAAAGACATTTGACTTGTGCTTGGCTTCGGCTGTCTTTCTGTAAAACATCTGGAAGGAAGGCTAGAACACAGAGGCCGGATGCAAAGTAGGACTTTGGGTTCGGTCCAAGGAGAAGCTGGGCTGTGTTGTGAGGAGAGCACAAAAAGCCTTTACAAGGGATCTTTGAAAGGCAGGGATGGGAAAAAAAACAAAAGGATGAGGCGCAGGTTTTGCAAAAGACAAATGGGGAGGGGGTCTTTCTGATTTCCGAAAGACCACACTCTTTCGGTTCAAATGCACAGCAGCCAGCTGTTGAAATCCAATTTCTAGCCTGCCAGATTGAGAAAAGCTTTTTTCTT